GATCATTACAGGGACATCGAAAAAGTTGCAAAGAAACTTTACCAAGCCAACATGCGAGTTTCAATGCAGAAATAAAAATTTCTTAGTTAACAAGTAGAATTTCTTGGATTTATTGTCTCGAAGGAAGGGATAAAAATATACCCTGATAAATTCAATGACATTCTGATTTATAAAACGCCTAGCACTCTTCGTGATTTGCGAGCATTTTTGGGTCTATCTGGTGACCATAGCAAGTTTATTAAAGACTATGCCTCCATAGTGAACCCTCTCACAAGATACTTGAGGGGAGAAAAGTCATGTGAGGACGAATCAATCAAAAAATGTTAGTTAAGTTAAGAGAATTTTATCTTCTGAGGACGTACTTCTGCTATATCCTGATCACAATAAACTATTTCATTTAATAACTGAAGCTTCAGCACACGCTATTAGGGCGGTATTATCTCAGGGCAATAGTCCGGCCATGATGTCCAGAACGTTATCGACAGCAGAAGAGAATTATGCTACCAATGAAAGAGAGCTTTCAGCGATAGTGTGGGCACTTCAAAAGCTGCGAAACTATTTGAACGGTGTAAAACAGTTGAATATTTTTACATCAGCCTTTGACCTTCGCTTTTTCGGGTAAGAATCCAAACACGAAAATAATACGCTGGCGAGCATTTGTGGAAGAGTTTTCACCTCAATTTCATTATAAACCCGATAAAAATAATCGATGTTTGCGATACATTGTCACGGCAGCACATTAATGCAATAGAGCAGGAATCCTCATCTGTTACTATGCATAGTGAAGAATCTCTAACAGAACTTATTCCATAAGTAGAAAACCCTGTTAATTCAGTTCAAAATCAGATAAATCTGGAGGAAGGAAATGTCACAACCAAGAAAACAAGAATTGTTTCCAAGTCAAGGATATTGCATCAAATTACATTTAAAAATCTTCAACATCTACTAGAATTGATTGGTGAATGCTGTAATCCTGATATAGTTAACGCTATTCATTGCAGCCTGCCTATTTTGGGCAAAATTCAGGACGATATTGTAAGGAAATCAAAACAAAATACTGCCAATGGAAGATAGTAGAGCACATCACTCTATCCGAGAAAATATTAATCAGGTATTGAACGATTGCTATTTTCCAAATATGGGGAAGAAATTAAAGAAAGTTACTGCCAACTGCAAAATTTGTAAAGAAGCCAAGTACGAACGGGATCCGACTAAACCAGAGTTAGGAAAGACTCCGATAACATCCCGTCCTGAGAAAATGTTACATATAGATATTTATTCCACTGATAACCATAATTTTTTAACCTTCATAGACAAGTTTTCAAAATTTGCTACAGTTATTCTAATTGGATCAAGGGCAATTGATGACGTAAAACAAACTTTAAAGTCACAAACAATAAAGTCTCTTCTTAGGGATCATTTCGGAGCAGAAATTTTTATAACCCCTCCTTTCCATGGTACGACAAATGAGCAGATAGGGAGATTTGATAGTACCTTAACTGGAATCGATAGATGCACTGAGTTAGAACAAGCAATAAATGATACCAATGAATTAATACTTCATGCTACTGCAAAATATGGTATTATAATACATTCAGGGCTCATACTTTTAAGTTTTAGTCTTAAGCCAGACTTAAAAAAAAGCACATAGTGCTTAATAAAATTGATTTGATTGGGAAAGTTAACAATGATTTTATTTCCTGAACAACAGCACATAGAGCAAAGTTAACTGTGCTTTTATTTCTTGGATAACAACAGATACTGGATCATCTACTTCACTTCTTAACGAAAATGGTTTACCTCCTTTTAAGGAATTCCAATAAAAATTCCGTTGAAATTTAAATCTCTTAATAGCGAAACAAAAATAAGTTTCCAAATAATTAATGAACTACCAAAAGAAATTAATAAATATGCACAATGTCGTGGAAAATTACTAATTTTGAAGGAAGCATATTTTGATGCAATTATTGGATATTAATCTGATATGGATTTATGATTCAAAGAAAAAAAAAATTAAGCAAGTCGTTTGAGTAGTTCGACCGGAGTCATGTCCGGCAGTTTAAAAAAGTTTGAGTAGTTAAGTTGTAAATAAGACAATGACATATGAATTTTAAATTTTTAGGATAATGTATAATTACATACATATATACTTATATAAATTTACTATAAATAGTGACAAATTTAAGTGTAAGTATGTAAAGAGTTCCAGTTTCTTTTCTTTGGGTATTCGACAAATTTAACGATTGGAATGTTACATATATACCATATTAACATACCATTTAACAAAAAAGTATTAAGTTCTCTCTCTATTTAATTATATTTTATTTAATAACAACAACATTATCTGACATACTTTCGCTTCTCTATTTTAAATCATCATAATGTGCATTCTTTTTCACATTTAAGGTTTATTAGAGGTGAGAAAATTTTATATTATATTATTTAGTTTTAAGATCACTTAGAAAATAAAAGGAGCCAAAGACACTTAAAACGGCTACGGAATTACATAACATACATACATTCATGCTGCAGTCCGAATTGTGAATCGGTTTCTCACGTAAAGATGCCACTTCCTGCTCTAAACAAATAACAGATTTTTAAGTTTTAGTCTCATATTCGAAACCTTTTTTTTTTTTGAAATGAGGGTCGGGTAATGTACCCATCCGTGATGTAGTTCTCGATTCAAATGTAGATAATTCTCTTGCTACTCCACAAGGCAAATCTTTGCTTAAACTCATAGGTCAAAGAATCATCAACGCTATTATCACGTACTTATTTCCCGAAACCTGCATTATAAATTATATAAATTAGTTTGAAGAACTAAGAGGATGGAGTCCTGTGTAAAAGTGCACCAAAGTGAGGAAAGTTCTCTGATCGCCATTCACTTGAGAATGGCTAGAAACGATTCTTTTACATATGTATAAAGCAGCTCACGACTTCCGGTCTTCGACCAAGTATACTCTGTATAGCCTAAGAACATCCGTTCGAAGGCGAGCTAAAGTTAGAAAGTGAAAAATCCCCTCCACAGGGTTTTTTGCAAATTTGGAATGAGATTCGTGGTGGGGGAGATATTCTTTCGTCGCGTACTTTCATTCACTCCGGATGGATGGATGAAAGTCTAGCCACAATCCAAATCAAAGCTAAGTAATTCAACATATCGCAGATTTTCGCCCACGCCCCAATGGAAGGGAAGGACGATTTGACCAAAGATGAATTTTATGAGCGCTTGGAGCGCACCTAGGAGAGCTGCTCCCCCCACGATATCAAAATCTTGCTTGGCGTCTTAACCACTTAACCGCCAGGGTGGGCAAAGAAGGTATATTTGGTACTACGGTCGGTAAATTTAGCCTCCACGACGAAAAATCCGTAAATGGACGTTGATCGACTTCGCCGGAGCCCGAAATATTTTTATTTGTAGTACTAGTTTCCAGTATAAGAAAATTCATCAAGTTTCGATCTTGTTCGATCGACCAGATCGATCTTGTTGTGATAGACGGAAGACACGTCTCCCGTGTTTTAGATGTGCGTGCGCTCCGAAGTCCTAACATCGACTCGGACTCTGCAGCAAAAACGCACGTCAACAAACATAAGGAAGGTTCGACGTCGAGAAGCTGCAATCACAACAGAAAGCAGAACTACTTTCTACTTGACTTGCACTCCATCTCTCTGAAGGCACTCGTCAAGAACTCGGTAAAAGGGAACTGTGGGACGGCATTTCAAACTTCCACGCAGAAGAACAGTTGGTACGACGAGGAGTGCCGTGTGGTAGCGGAGAGAAAACAGACTGCCTACCTCGCAACGCATTGGAAGGCATACACGCACCAATTAGTTGGTTGATCGAGTTGGGCTAGAAATTGCTCTTGTCGCTACATACGACACAACTTTTAACACAATTTTGAGGCCAACTTCATTTTGAATATTCACTTCGTTGCTTAAACATGAGTTCGGAAGTTGTTGCTTTACTTATAATAAATGAAGTTTTAGCGGAWGAAGAAGAACAGAAGCAAAAAAACATTCGGGAAAAAAGAAAATGGTCTAAAATGTGGTTGCAAAATAAAAATGAATTTTCTATTAACAAGCTTTTGAAGACGTTGAGAGAAACTGAGCCAAAGGACTACAAGAATTACATGCGCATGAGCGATAAAGTGTTTTATGATCTTTTCTGGAAAGTGAAAGTTTTTATTGAAAAAAAAGACACAATAATGCGAGAAGCAATTAGTGCAGAGAATCGTTTGGCAATAACTTTAAGATTTTTGGCTACTGGAAACTTTATTTTAATTATAAAAAGACATTCAGGATTGTTTTGTTGGCAATTGTTGACAGCAACTCTAACTTTTTAATGGTAGATGTAGGTGCAAATGGACGAATTTCCGATGGAGGCGTTTTCGGAAATTCGAAATTTTTTAAAAAGTTGGAAAGTGGAAGTTTAAATTTACCGGAACCACAAGCAGTGCTTGCAGACGAAGATCCACTCCCCGTGTTTGTGTCGGATTCCGCTTTCGCTTTAAGGAAAAATGTTTTAAAACCATTTGGTCACAACAATTTGACAGAGAATGAAATTTAACTGTTTAACAAAACTCTGAGCTCAGCACGGGTTAAAGTTGAAAACGTTTTTGGTATTTTGACATCGCGTTTTCGACTTCTTCAAACGACAATAAATTTATGTCCTGAAAAAGTTACTACTGTTGTTCTTGCCTATTGCTACTTACACAACTACTTACGGCGCCAGTCAAACTCAAATCGATTTGAATGTGAAAATATTCAGCTATCATATAATGAGGCCAAAACAATAAGGTTGAAATATTGTGAAATTATCAAAAAACTGAAATCTTTTTAATTCCTTTTATTTACATATAAAATAGTTAAATTAGTTGTGTTCTTTAAATAAAACTTATACTCATTCTCTTAAAACTAATACATAAATAATTAACTAAAAATTAATTTAAACAAAAATTAGAAATATAAAATAAAATATATGTACTCTATCTTAATATGTTTTATTTCATTGATATTGCGAGTCATTAAACAAATCAAGAACACTTGTATATTGACTGTCGTTTGCATCTGAAAAGTGTAACTCTGGAGTTATTTCAATTGTTTGTGAAGTTGATTGTATGGGGCTTCCAGTTGGCAAAGAAATAAAACGTTGCGAATGTGATGTTGGTTCTATAGGACTTCTCGTTGGCACAACAATTAACCGTTGTGAATGTGATGTTGGTTGTATGGGGCTTCCAGTTGGCACAGAAATGAAACGTTGAGAATGTGATATGGATTCTTTAGAACTTCCAGTTGGTATAGAAATAAAATGTGCCGAGCGTGATGTTGATTCAGTTGGGCTTACAGAAGGTGACGAAATATAATGTTGCGAGTCATAAAAAGGCGAGCTGGTTCGTGATACATGGGGACTACTTAAATTTGGTGAGCTTGAAGGACTGTTCAGATAATTGAAACATAATTTTCCAAATCGGCCCAACAGCATTACTTCGTCTACTGCTTGCTTTGCAAAAAGTTGCTGCTCTGGTTTCATTTGCCTGAACATGCAAGCCCCTGCCTTTGCGTAAGTTTCTGCTTCATCCATTTGTTTTTTGGATGCCTCCAAATGCTCGGTTGCTTTCTTTAGAAACTCCGTTGATTCGGTAACCACTTTTTTAAATTTCTTCAACGATTGCTGTGTAAAAAAACATAATCTCATAAATAAAATCAATAAAACTTTTAAATGTTTCTTCAACTTACTACGCAAACGGACGCTTCTTCATCTTCATCCGAACTGATGGATGTTACAGTAGGCATAAGTACTTCCAAGTCTCGCAAAAAATCGAGTTCATCGAAATACCATAGAGGTGAAACGTATAATTCATCAGCTTCTGCACCAGATGTCTGACTTTGCAAAGTTTTCTTCAGCTCCCGGCGATAGCAAGTACGAATATTTGACAGTTTTTTTCATGTCGTCTATCAACGCATCGCTTTTTACTTTTTTATATTCTAGTAAAAGTTTTTGGTAGATTCTACTGCGTACATTTTTGTTTTTGTAACAGTCCAGTTTGCTGTTCCACAACTCCGGCATAGTTTAATATATTTCGATAAATTCACGCATTTGCCGATCGCTTTCACTCATTTTTATTTGTTCTTTGCTCCGTAGACGCGCTCTCTTTGACAGCAGAAATAAAATGGCGAAATCGTTTGAAATCGCACGACCAACCCAAACACAACCAACTTGCCAAAATATCAAAAATTTGTCATATTCATCCAACCAGTTGGCACAACTCGTACAACTGCCCCATACACGTAACAATCAGTTGTACAACTCGATGAAATTGGTGCAATAATTGGTACGTGTATGCCATTACAATCGACCACAACACGTGCCTGGGTGGGATAGATACCGAGAGTTGAAGAGGGAAGCGAGATGCATTTGCAGACAGAAACAGAAAGAAACCGAAATGCGTGAGTATGAAGAGCTAGATAAGCTGGCTGACAGAGGTAAAGCTCAAAAATTCTACGAAAAAATGCGAGAAGGTTTCAAGACCGGAGCATACTCTTGTAGAACACTCAAAGGTGATCTAATGACTGATACTAAGAGCATATTTAAACTATGGAGGGAACATTTTTCTAGCCTGCTGAATGACAGTGAACGTACAACGCCAGGAGAAGGCGAACCCGATTCCCCAATCGATGACGATGGAGCAGAAGTTCCATTGCCCGACCAKGAAGAAGTTCGAATAGCAATTACCCGTTTGAAGAACAACAAAGTGGTGGGGGCCGATGGTTTGTCAGCCGAGCTATTTGAACACGGCGGCGAAGAACTGAAAAGGAGCATGCATCAGCTTCTTTGTAAAATATGGTCGCATGAAAGCATGACCAACCTTAACATCGGGTATAAGGTTCTATTTTAGCGTATTGTGTAAAAGATTAAAAGAAAGTGCGGCTTCAGACTTGCCAAATCAACAATCCACCAAATATTCACCATGCGCCAATCTTGGAGAAGACCCGTGAAAGAAGAATCGACACACACCACCTCTTTGTCGATTTCAAAGCTGCTTCGACACCACGAAGAGGAGCTGCGTTTATTGCGCGATGTTTGAATTTCGTATCCTCGCATAACTAATACGGATGTGTAAACTGACGTTGAGCGTTGTGATACCAAGCGAGGTTTCAGACAAGGCGACTCCCTATTGTGCGACTTCTTTAACCTGCTGCTGGAGAAAATAATTCAAGCTGCAGAACTCAATCGAGCACGTATAATCTTTTATAAGAGTGTACAGCAGCTGGTGCATGCCGATGATATCAATATCAACATCCGCGCCGTTAGTTCTGCTCTCTTCAGACTTTACAAGGAAGGGAAGCAAATGGGTCTGGTAATGAACGAGGGCAAGACGGAATATCTCCTGTCATTAAACAAACAGTCGTCACACCCGCGACTTGGCTCTCACGTCACTGTTGACAGTCATAACATTGAAGTTGTAGATAATTTCKTCTATCTTGGAACCAGCATTAACAGCAACAACAATGTCAGCTGAATAATTTTGCCAGCATATTCTACTTTCGACTGAGTAGACTATTGAGGAGGAAAGTCCTCTCTCGACGAACAAAAACCAAACTCTGTAAGTAACTCATAATTCCCGTCCTGCTATATGGTGCAGAGGCTTGGACGATGACAACATGATGAGTCGACGTTGCGAGTTTTCGAGAGAAAAGTTCTGCGAAAGATTTATGGTCCTTTGTGCGTTGACGGCGGCGAATATCGTATTCGATGGAACGATGAGCTGTATGAGATATAGGACGACATTGACATAATTCAGTGAATTAAAAGGCAGCGGCTACGCTGGCTAGGTCACGTTGTCCGAATGGACGAAAACACCGAAAGTATTCGACGCAGCAAAACCTCCACTCCGTTGGAAGGACCAGAGGGGGAAGGACCTGGTACCTCGTAGCGAAACGAAAGAATGGCTGGCGCCCTGTTATTAACTCGGCTATAATCGCGTAACCGGTGTCTTCTTATAGTTTTTATTTTTCTGTGTCCTGAGATATTTCTAACAAACTTAGTATCTCAGACAAAACGGATCATCTGCGGGAGCTTTCCTAGCACTTGCGCCGTGGGATCTTTGGTAGCTATTATACGTTTAATCATAAAGTACGTTAAGTCATAAAAAACTATTTCATCGAGTTAGTGTTTCTTGCAGCAAGCTATACGGGTTTCCACTATTTTGCGCCAACTTAAATTTCTCATACGCTATCGTGCTATTTTGAAATATGTCACTATTACTTTGCCTTTTCTTTAAGTTATTTGAAGTTCTCGATTATCTTTTAAACTGTCTTGAATAATCATATTGATTGTATGTGCATAACATGGCAAATGTTTGTTCGTAATAATTCGTACGCTTTTATCATAACCGATTCATTATCTGTAACAAGACTATATTTGTTAAGTCCCACTCTAACATAACATTTCTCATAGTTTTCACGACATTTTCTGCTTTATGAGAAATCCAATTTGTTTTTGGATGGTACCATAGAGCGCAAATTGAAATGGTTGCCTATCAAATGAAACGTTATGGTTAAGTACCTCTCATTTATCGCTGAAGTCCAACCATTCGTCCTCAAGGCGACATGAGAAATATCGTGCAGCATGTTTCTCAAAATTTTTCTTTAAATCGATGTAATGATTTTAAAAATGCAAATCACGTAAATGATTGGTATAAGACATATCCAGGAAAATTTTGACGAAATGTCGAAACCCAGTATTTGTGTCGATGTTGAATGTCCTAAATAAAAAACAATTAAATTAACTGCTCACTTGCTTTCTTTAATCTGAAGCTTTCTTAGGGTAGAGTATTTTGGAAAATGTCTTCAACTTCATCCTTCTCTAGATTTGGATGAAATCTATTTAGGTTGTCAAGAATATTGCTTTTATTACCGCTTGTCTTATATTCTTTACCAAACTGAAGACATTTGGCAAACTTTTTACTTCCGGACTTTCTAAAATACTTCCAAACTTTAGAAATGTCATTCTATCGCTTGTATATTTGTTTCCATAAATCTCTTCGTCGGACGCCAAAGAGTAACACGCCTCTTCGGAGGATTCCACGAAAGTTTCAGTTATAACTTGACTACTTGAAATTCAAATTAATTAGTAAAACATATGTATATGTACATTGAACCATTTATTTTTTTTGCTAATAATTGTTCATTGCTGAAATTGTTGCTAACGAAGACACGATTACAATTACTTTGGCAGTCAAAGTTTGACTTCTGATATAAATGGGGTATGGACTGAAAGAGGGGGCTCATCAGATAACGAATATATATAAATAATGTGGCTGAGATTTATAGTTATAACTGAGAGAGAGAAAATCCTCTGTCCTGATGGCCATCAGAGCCTTCTGCGATTCAGCTTTTACTACATCCACAATTGAGTCAAAACGGTGTCCTCGGAGTGGTCATGTTAATTTGCTGAATAGCCAGAAGTTACACAAAGGTTAGTCAGGCGAATGCGGTGGTTGCAACACGATATTAGTTAAAATGTGGCGAAATGATCACCAATGCAACCCTGGATCCCCCTTGTCTTCACTTCACATATTGAAAAATACACTGTCAACATTGAAATAAATTCAAATTTTACATTTATTTAAGGTTTTTTAAGCAAATATTACTTATTTCAAAAATTGCTTAGCCACTTATAGCTAAAGTCATTTGATTGCTTACAATTAGGTAGAAACGAAACGAATTGGCGTATTTCAGCTTCAGTTTGACAATAATAAACAATGTTGCCAATTTGTAAAATTGAAAGGTATTTAAAAATGTGTAGGTATTACTCAATATCGAACATTCAAAAATTAATATAAAGATAGGAAAAAAATTATTTTATATTATTTAAATATGTAAATATTGGCGATTGTTCAAGCCCATCGATAGTGCCGTCGAAAAGGACCATAAATATTTCGCAAATTGTTTCTCTCAAAAATTCATAACGTCGACATCAAATGTTGCCATCGTCCATTAGTTCGTCGAGAGTGGACTTTACTTCTCAATTGCCTACTCAGTACGAAGTATAGTTATTCTGCGTTATATTTTGAGGCTGGCATTGTTGTTGCTATTAATATTGCTCCAAAATAGACGAAATTATTTACGACTTCGAAGTTCGGGGGAGCCAAGTTACGAGTGCAACAACTGTTTGTTTGATGACATTAGATAAATCGACTTGCCTTAGTTGACTACCAGACTCATTTGCTTCGCTTCTTTATCCATTTTGTGGAAAGCAGAAATAACGACGCGGTTGTTGATTCCAATGATATCAATATCATCGGTTTACGCCAGCAGCTGTGCACTCTTATAGAAGTTTGTACCTTCTCTATTTAGTTCTGCAGCTCAAATTATTTTCTTAAGAGTATTAATTTTGCGGCAATACCAAATTCAGATATAGGGGCATAGATTCAACTTCATTTCGTGCTGTCAAAATCAGTAAAATCTGTAAAATCGACAAAAAATGTTGTGTGTCGATCCTTTTTTCACGGGGCTTTTCCAAAATTTGGCGCATGGTTAAATATCTGGTCGGTTGTTGATTTTCCAGGCCTAAAGCCACACTGATAAGGTCCAATCAATTTGTTGACGGTGGTCTTATAACACGGTAGTTGGCGAAGATCATGGCGTCTCCCTTTTTTTGGATTTGACAGAGCACACTTAAATTCCCTTCGTTGGGAATGCTTTCGTCCAACCATATT